GAAATTTGGAAGACAGTTGACTCATTGATAAACAAAGTCTTACAGGAAATATCAAATTCAAATCAAGTATACCAAATAACTGAGAAAATTGCAATGTTTGAAAGCTGTAATTTAAACCAAGAATATAATGTAATAATCAATTTGTTTGTCTTTATTACAAAGTGGCACATATGTAAAGAACAATATAAGATAAAATTTGATGATGAATATGAAGTTGCTGACTTCACACAGCACATTTTGAAGTGTGTAAAACAAGAACTAAGGTTTACAATCAATGCAATTGAAAGTGTTAAAAGATATCAAACACTGGGGAATAAGTTACAAGCAATATTTGCAAATTGAAATTGAAATCAATGTAAGAGAAATTGAGTAGAAAGAAAGAAAATGAATAAGAGAATAAATGGACAGAGTGAGGAAGATGAGCGTACAAAATAGAGAGAGTCAGAGAATGAATATGCTACATGTACTATGTACAAGGATTAGGCCAGGCCCCATCCTGGTATTCCCTATTGCATTCGGGATGATAAACCATAAAATAGAAAGAAAAACATCATTAACATGATGCAACCATTTTTATCCCGTGCTTTTATAGATAATGAATGCTTCACCCGTATGATAGTATTTTTCATTTTTGCAATGTTGATGACTGCGTGAGGTCACACACAAAGTAAACCGTAGATATAAAAGAAAATAATTACAAGTTGTGTTAGGGCCTTTGGCACAAAATAGCGATCGACTTATAAAAAAACAAATCTTTTTCTGTTTATACTTTAATTTGTTTGAATAGTCTCATCACGATTCTGCTATTATGCATTACTTCAATTTTGCATTTCGCATGCATATTTGAACACGCCAAAGCGTCAGCAAACACGAACGAACGGAATCAGAAGAAAAGACAATACGAAGAGACATCTGGTAGATGACTTCGAATCCCAAATAAAGATATGAGACCTAATAAGCAAAGCAAGCAAAATTCCATGTGTTCTGGAAAAGTAAGCGGGTTTGTTTGGAAAAAAGTTGTGACCTGTCACGAAACATCCTGTTAAATCAGGGAAAGAATATAGGTCATCAATCATCTAAAGCACCGTCAGTAATTCTTTAAAAGTAGGGTCAACGCCTATGGAGATTTAACATTAGCGTCGGCCCCCGCATGGAATTCCAAAACAAGATCAATCCAAAAAGATATGGGTAAAGGAAGCTTAAATAAGGAACCGTTAGTTTCAGAATTCATTTTATGATAAACAGGACCTCTTTGACTTAACCTGTGTGGTGTGGGTGTTAAAGGTGCGGTAATACAATTCCTCCGAGAGCATTAACGACACAATTACTATATAAACTTATATCACCATCGTGTGCAACATATTCCAGCTGTTATTTTGATACCAAATATTACACAATTTCAAGAATGAAATGTTCATTTTATTGAAGATTTAAGCAAAGAGTTATGAGAAATTTCATTACTAATGAGAAAATTTCCATTTTTGACAAGTTAGTTTACATAGTTCTAAAACGAGTCTATTTTTCATACTTGCTTAAAAGTTTGCTACCAATAATATCTTTCAACATCAGGAATTTCAAAAACATTGACAACCTGTAAATTTGTCATATAACACTTTTGATTAAAAATAGGAAAAACAACTTTTCCTTCAACTTGTGTTTCTTCATGAGTTGTTCATGTGAATGGATTTAACTTTTGCAAACGTTAATGAACTTGACCTTCGTTCAAGGTCACACAAATGAATTTGCATACATTTTTTTTGGTATGGGGAGTCAGACAAGGATATCTTTCATTGCTTTATTTGTTTAGAGTTAACGATATAAAATAATGTAATATTTCTTCATATTTTGTTTAATGAATAGGCAAAATGAAAAATAAAATAATAACTAGAACTGTACGCCAAAGGTTAACTTATACCCCGCTCCTATATAAACCAGAACTGTAAGCTAAAGGTTTACTAAGGCAAAGCATTGCAAAGCAATCCATATTCTCCTATCAGTAATAACTTAAGTATATAGGTCACTGACATACTTCCTGTACTCCCTCCCCATATCAAAACATTCTTGCATACCCAATCTTGCTAGCCCAGATGAACCAGCTTTGCTGAAACCGTCCTAGTAGTAAAGGCAAAGTTGTCAAGACAAAGATTTTTTTTATCAAAGGGCCATAGCTCTTTAAAAATGGTCGAAATGAAAAAATACTACTCTGATGCACGACATCAGGGGGTAATTACCATATCTGTAAACTTTCATTGGAATCAGCCCAGTAGTTTATGAGGCAGACAAAGGGTTTTATTAACAAAGGGCCATAACTCCTTTTAAAGGGTCGGAATGAAAACGTACTACTTGGATGCACAATGTCAGGAGGCAGTTACCATATCTGTAAACTTCCCTTGGAATTGGCGCCTTAGTTTTGGAGGAGTTGTCTGGACAAGAGTTTTTCAACAAAGGTCAATTTCTACGTAAAAAAGGGTCAGATTGAAAAAAAGGTGCCCGGATGCACAACACACAGGTAGTAGTTATCATATCGAAAACTTTCGTTGAAATTTACCCCTTAGTTTTGGAGGACATGTCCGGACAATGATTTTTCAACAAAGTGCCATAATTTTGTAAAATAAGGGTGAGAATAAAAAAAGTAATACTTGGATGGACAATTTCATGTGGTAGCTGTCATATCTCGAAACTTTCATTGAAATTGGTCCATTACTTTAGAAGGAGTCGTCCGGACAAACTTTTGCTACGGACGGACAGACAAGTTGATTCCAGTATAACCCCTTAACTTCGTTGCGGGAGTATAATTAAGTGTATAATAGTTTTCTATTAAGATTATTTTATATATAACGGTGTATATTTGTCTATAACACAATCTCAACCTTAAGTGGTTCTCCAGAGGAAAGATTACTTTGGCAGGATACATATTCATGAGTTATTACTGCTGCACATAACTTTAAAACATGTATAATATAACAAAGTGATTTGGTTAAATACGAAAACAGAAAATGTATCGTTATTTACCAGGATAAACATTGATAATCAAATATTCATGATTATGTGAAATTGGCCTGTGATCATGTTTGGCATGCTAAAAAAGTACTTTACCGGTTTTGATATTACATAAAAATTATTCTGTAGACAGAATTTATATATGGAAAGTTTTTAAAGAAGTTTAAAATATAGACTACCATTGTAAATATATATAGGCAAGTTTTTAGTGAAAATTTTGCATGTGTTTCTAATTAAAAGTACCACTAGGCTTACTTCATCTATACCAATACGACATATTTAGTATCACAATAACAGTAATTATATACACTGTACACTATCATAATTCATTTTCAAAACAACATTCGCCTGTGACACATATGTCATTTTGCCAGGATACCGCCGTCACTCAACCTGGTGTTATGCAAGGAGGTCAACTACGGCTATCAGCAGTAATTATGAATAATCATTTATGCAGTTATTGATCTATTTATGTATCTACATATGGCAAAAGAATAAAGGAAATCAAAGTGGGGGCCAAAAGTTGACCCCACCTTTTAACGAGAATGTTTATATTCCGTAACATTGAGATATATTGAAGTTCTTAAACATTCCACCATATGAAGACTGACGGACTGACGGACGTAAAACACTAAATCCACCTCGCCACATCAACGGCAGTAAAACACTCACGAAAGCACCAATTTTTAATGACAATTTCTTTTATTTAGACAAGTTCCGAGTTTTCGGGTGTGTCCATGTTTCATTATACCTGACAGATATTTGAATGGTGAACAAGCTTACATTGGCTGCATCAAGACAATGCTATTTTTAAATATCAGTTGTGATATCAAATTGTACAGGATGATAACTGCATAAGGTCAGTTTACGTTTAGACAAGACTACAGCCTAAAAAAATGACATGTACTGTATGAACACGCGCGTTTTGATTCTTTTTATGAAGTCATTTAAAACTAATTTCAAACACATACATGTTACGTGCCTAACATTAGAATTTAATCAATATTTACCAACTTCATCGAGATATAAAAATACAAATATCTAATTTCAATTTGTATATTGAAAACAATGATTTGATAATATGAAAGTGAGAAAAGTTTGAACCTACACGCGAAAATTTTGAGGTGAAATATGAAAATATTGACGCGAAATTCGAAAACGCTGACGCGAAACTCGGCAAAATTCGAAAATCGACTTAAAGTTACTTTCATTCTTTATACGCTGCCAAAATCCGTTCGGATTTGATGTTTTATGTTTCTTTGTATGCCATGTAAATGTAATAATTTAATGTAAAAATGGCAAACGCTTTTTGCCAAATATCAATTTCCGTAAAAATTAATATCATACGGAGCCCATTTCCAATAACATTACCTGAGACGGAGCCATGAACATGTATTACCAGATTTTTAAATATCTAGTGACAAAGTCACGAAAGTTGAATCAGCACTTTGAACTCACGAGATTTACATTTGTAGACCATGACACACTGATATGAACAGCAAGCTGTGTTATGTGGTCAGAATAGCGAAATCTATAAATACATTTCTAGGAAATCAGACATTTATGAGACGTCACTCTTTGTTACAGCCAGACATACGAAGTAGTAATATTGCCATAAGGTTACGTACCTGTACAGATATATCGCTGTTTATTGGAAAATTTGAAACTTCATGGCTAACCACTGCAACATGTTTTTTATTGTCTGTTATAACTTTGTATTTTTAATTCATAATGAATCATACTGCATACAAAGCAAACTATTGTTAATTGAAGAAAACTCCAGTTCATTAAATCAATCGTCTGTCAAAGAGTTCTGTAACGATTGTAAGTGTTTTGTGATGTGGCCATGCTGCCTTGTTTAACATGTCTACTGGTCAGAGAGGTTACAAAACAGCAGTTTCAGATATGTTCAAACAGCTCGTTTGGATTTCAATATAGTTTGAAATTACGTTGGTAAAAATGTCTTCCTTGTTTGTTTGTATAAATACCTGATCAGGTAAAACTCCACCACATCCCTGTCGGAGGAGCTTCTATCAGACACAGGTAAGAATCTTAAATGTTTTTAACATATATTGAAACAAAATTAATTTACCTTTTGCAGTAAATCATTTTGTGTATTGACCAATCAGAACGGTTATTGCTGTGTCCGCGACTGTCTTTATTGAGTTTAAACTCCAGCAAACATTTTTATGTTTGAATTTCAATGCACTGAAATCTAAGTAAAACGACATTTTTAGAGATTTTACCATGTTTCATGAACAAATATGTGTTACCACTGCAGCAATATAACGTTTAATTTTGTCCAACACGGAAATGCCTTTCGACAAAGAACGTCGCGGAAATAGCAATGACAGCGACTCATTTTGAACGATACTCTCTTCAATACAAAACGTTGCACCTGATTAGTACCGTAACTATATAACGTCCATCCATTGAATATACTCTATAAATTACTATTCACTGGAAATATAAATCAATATTTACTTTAATTTCACAGAATAGCGGTTTAGCAAGCTATATTTATTTTAATAAATACTTTATTTGATCAGCTTTTAAAGCTTCACATTTTCTCGTATACCAGACAATGGAATACCAGGATGCGTTTTTCTGTCTCGTTCACTTTGGCAGCTAGAATCTTTTAGACAGTTATGTCACGTTTAACTTACACATCTTAACAGTTTTAATGAAGATTTGAATTGAAACTCCCGATGGGTGATTATCATGGTAATCTAACTCTCATTAGCTAATTTTTAAATTGTTAAAGACGATTATCTTGGTGTCTTTATAGGACTTGAAAATTAACTAACTCAAGTTAGATAAACATTATAACCAATTATCACTCGTTGGGGAACCTCTATATTGCGCCCCACTTGGAATTAATTGCAGCGCATACCGTTACTGATAATCAATATGTAATAGATTGTGGAAATAGTTTCCTTTTAATGAACATTATGTAAATAGGAATATGGTGTATGCTTAACTTACGTTAAGATTATTGAAGAAATGGTTCAACTTATTTATGCCTAATTAAATATTCTTGTTCATTCTGTTTGTAGTCACAATATTTTGTGTTGTTACATGCTTGTTAATATTTTAAAAATAGAATAAAAATCTTTTTTTGTAAAATAACGTGAGTTATCGAAGTAATATTTTACATTCATTGATAGATGTCGTGTCTTTTACAAATTAAATGAATAATGTGATAGAAAACATACATTTTGTCCATTTTAAAGGAACGATATTAAAATACTTCTAAATATAATCTGACCTAGGCTGATAGGCATCTAGCAATTAATGAATGTTTAATGTATCTTGATTCCTGGTGTTTATTTAAAAACATGGTTTTGCTTACTGACCATAACATTGGCGTGATTTCTTAAGATTTTATCGAGCAAAATAAAGCCTACGTCAGATACAAGCCTTAAAAGCCATATTAAGTTAGCAAAACAATACATAGAGGATTAATCATGTCGATAAACATGTTGCTGGTTTTTGCAAATTGAATTTACAGCAATGTAGGTTGCATTACAATGTATTTTAACTGACTCGATACTTGATTAATTATGTCAACACGTGAATTGTATTTACCAATAAAATTCTGATAATCTAGGAATAGGTATGATATAAAAAGTCTATATACTGATGACAGATGGGTTTTTTCAGAACATGGGGTATCATCTATCACTGACGTTTCTTTCCTGCTATGCAGCCTGTATTGGACTTGCTGGAGCCGCTGGTAAATTCGGTAAGTGCACTCAAATAAGAATCATGGCTACAATGAAGTCTGTCTTAAATTCTAGGCGTCTTTGAGGTTAACGTGAAACCTGACTTGAAGTTAACCTGTCTTAAAGTCAACCTGTCTTGAAGGCTACCGTTAAACTTGTTCTTAAGAACACCTCCTCATATCTCCCTTTACAAGTCTGGATATGTCGTTTCCAGTACAGTAGCAATCTGTGCAGAAAGACGTCATACCAATTTTTAATTTTCTAATATCAAAGTTTTACTTAATACACAAACAAAGTATGTATTAAACGTGTCGCAGCGTAAAACATTGATATTATATATGACCAAACCGATTTATCTTACTTAATTTTTTTTAATATTCTTTCTATGGCGGTATGTATGGTCAAGTTAGCCCGTGTATGTTTACATCAGATATTATACCAGTGATGCTACCAGAGTTATCTCCATGTACCTCATGATTACGTTTGCCTTTGTCAGTAGGCCAGTATGGAGACCAAAATTATTGGACCTTCTGCCTCCTTTCTAAAAGTTATGTTACTAATCTATTGGACAGTCTGTTGTGTCTCTGACCCTGATCAACACTTTTTAAGAATAATATAAATGAAAATATGATAAAATGTGTCAAGGATGTGACATGTCAATGATATAGCGCACGACACGTTGCTTTGTTTGGACGCTTTGTTTTGGACGTTTTGTTTTGGAAAGCTGTATTTAACTAAAAGAATAAGGTAGTTAACCGAATCCCGAAACAACTGACTCATTCATATGGCCTATCATTTAACTCTGATCTCCAACTACATCATCTACAATGCAGATAAATATTGGTTAACATTTTATGTTCCATTTTGCGCCACTGTAGTCTTTACACAAGTTATGAATAACATAAACAACTATTCACTGCTAAATAATTTTGCGTTTGTTCTTTTTTTCTCAATTACTGCTTTAAATCACAACTTGAACACTTATTTTGGAATGTTTGCCGTTTTTGAACAAATAGTAACATAATCTCTTGAATACAATTTTAATTCAGCTTCCTGTTAAAGGATATCAAACCATTGTTTTATCATCACTTTGGTAAAAACAAAAAAATCCAAATTTCTATATCAATAAGTGAAATAATACATGGATTCAAATTCATAACTTCGGGATTTGGAAATTTTAGGTGGAGGTGGGTCAACAATTATAACGACTGATGGAATGGCTGGCGGTGGAATGATGACCGGCGGTGGAATGACTGGTGGTGGAATGATGACCGGTGGCGGAATGACTGGTGGTGGAATGATGACTGGCGGTGGTGGAATGACTGGCGGTGGAATGATGACCGGTGGCGGAATGACTGGTGGTGGAATGATAACCGGCGGTGGTGGAATGACTGGTGGTGGAATGATGACCGGCGGTGGTGGAATGACTGGCGGTGGAATGATGACCGGCGGTGGTGGAATGACTGGCGGTGGAATGATGACCGGCGGTGGAATGAATTATGGAAGATTCGGAATGATCAGCAGTTCTGCCATTCCTTTTTACGGAACGGGTAGTGGCATGTACAGCGGAATGTGTGGCATGTTTCCTGGAAACAGCTGGACATATTATCGCTCTACTGGTGGCATTCCTTTTTACGGAATAGATGGGGGATCTATGGGTGTTGGAAAGATGGGAGGCGGAACTATGGGTGGTGGAATTATGGGAGGCGGAGCCGGTATGGGAATGGGAGGTGGAGCTGGTATGGGAGGAGGGGCTGGTATGGGAGGCGGCGCTGGTATGGGTATGGGTATGGGAGGCGGTATGGGTATGGGTATGGGAGCCGGTATGGGTATTGGTATCGGAGGCGGAGCTGGTATGGGAGGTGGAGCCGGCATGGGAGGCGGCGCTGGTATGGGTATGGGAGGCGGAGCTGGTATGGGTATGGGAGGTGGAGCTGGTATGGGAATGGGAAGCGGAGCCGGTATGGGTATGGGAGGCGGCGCCGGTATGGGAATGGGAGGTGGAGCTGGTATGGGAAGCAGTATGAGTTCATCAAGCATGATGAGTGGCGGGTTCATGGGAGGAGGGGCTATGGGAGGAGGAGCAATGGGCGGCGGGGCAATGGGTGGAGGAGCAATGGGAGGCGGTGGAATGGGTGGAGGAGCAATGGGAGGTGGTGGAATGTCTTTCATCACCACCAGTCGTAAAGGAAAAAAAAAAGGTAACTTAATGTGTTTAACGTTGGAGTATTCAATGTTGATCTAATGTATTTTCGTTTTCGATTTTTGTTCATAGAGGTTTTTAAAAAGACTCATGTTTAAGTATGTTTTATACTAATCTCAAGACTAACAAAATGTCTTTCATTTAAATTGAGATACAGTAAAACCTCGATTTTATAGCACTCGTTTTATCTATAACCCCGTTTACCGCCGACACATGCAACACATTCTGGCAGTATAACGAGGTTATACAGTTCGCATAGACTTTTTTGTTTTGTATTCAGTGTTTCTACTCTTTATGTTGCAGGTTCCTATTAAACAAGACGAAATGAAGTAACCAACTGGAAGAAGACGCCAGATGATCATTGACATTCATTTCCATTAAAATCTACGTAAAAAGAAATACATATAAATCACATGACGCCGTCGTTTATATACTTCGATTTTGTTATGTGTCCTTGTGGATGGTTGATGTAATGTTTTAAAGAAGCTCTTGCATCATATGATCGATGTCAATGATCATATATTAAACACCCATCGTCATTGGTAATCGTTCACTATGTTTTTATGAATGTTTTTTCTTGTAATGCGTTCGTACATGTTGAAGAACCAAATAAATGTAAAATAGAGAAATCTCATATGCAGTTCTTCTCCATATTACATTGTATGTTCATTGTAACGTTGCCATCATTACAAAATCCAGATTTTAACAAGTCTTCATTATAACAATAATGGTCACATCAATCCAAACAATTAACAAAAATAATCGCGAATATCTGTTTCCCGTAACCCTTAATGATTTAAAATTTAAACACACTTTCCTGTATCAACTGCAAAATATAAGTATGACATTAATGGGAATAAAACTATAAAACGCTATGACAAACGTACCGACATGTCAATATTAATTATATAGTTACCTTTCTCTTTCTTGGTAGTAACAGAACGACTTAGTCTGGTTAAGGCTTTTACACATCACAGTTTAATTACAACCCAATTGCCTGTTTTAAGTGCAGGAGTTTTAAGGAAACTTGCCTCATCTTGACTACTGAAATATGAAACTAGGGTTTTCCTATCTGACATGTTTCAATCTACGTTTCAGATCGTTACTGATTATCATCCTGATCTGATCACTAAGCGTTTAAAATAATTCATGGCTTGTGTTATGTATCTGAGATTGGTTCAATTTTTAGATTTTTGTAAATATTTATTCAGTGTTTAATTTGGAAGCACCATAAGGAACAATTTTAGAAAATAAATGTGAAGTTAGAAGTTGTTTCTTTATGCTGAATGATTTCCCCGTAGTATTTTTTTCGCGAGTCCTTCAATTACAGTTTAAACCGTTGTGAATTTTCAAAGAGTAATCAATTTGTGCAGTTGTGAATATATCTAGATAAAGGTTATAGTGAATGTGTTAGTTTCGTGTTGACTTTAAAGTGCTAATTTTGAATACTCTGCTTATTTTTTCTTCAAAGAGATTGATACAATAAAAGGACCTATATATCATGTAATCCATCTGCACTCTAAAATGAATTTATTCTCTAGTTGAAACTCCAATTCTATGTGAATGAAATCCCTCTTATAGTTGAAATCCTGCTAAGCCTATAGTCGTCTGCCCGAACCACGCCATTTAAAAAACAACAACAACAATGTAACAGAGAAGCTTTACTGATCTGTATCACAATCAACCTTTGGGGGTAGGGGAGAGAACTCCCATAACGCATATATGACTAAAATAACTTAAATTAACGAGTCACTCCGTGGGAGCTCTGGTCGATGACTTCTGTCCTAGATGTAGAAAAAAACTTTTAAATTAATTCACAATAAATTCATTGTAGTATACATTGTCCATACCATAGGAGAGGGCTTGTATAGGCATTACGCATGTTGTCCAATTCCATTTAAATTTGTTATAAGATGCATATTCAAAACAAAAATTGTGAAATGAAAAACATCCATGCATAGATGGTTCATAATAAATAGTGATCGTTGATGGTACCGTATTAACCTTAAAGTGGGTCGACATTTTTAAATCATCGTCTCATATATTTTTATCTTACAGCTGCATGTACAACACATTATGCGAGTCATTATTGATTACATTACATCAAAGTAAATACATGAAACGCGAATCCATGTTTCCGCCTTCTAAGTTTTCACTGTAATTAACTTTTGCAATGTTATACATGAAATGAAAATAGATAAAAAAATAAATAAAATAAATAAAGAAAAAAATATAGAATAAATAAATCGTTATTTAAACAAAAATAGAACCATGTTACAACCGTTCTCTAGAGACGAACATAATTGCGATAAGGTCGATAGATAAATCATCAAAAGATATAGTCTCCAGAGATTACCGAATACAATCGTGATCCACATCATGACTACACAAGGACGTTATCAGAACTCGAGTCTCTGCGAAAAGATAATAGCAACAAACAGAGACCTTCAATACTACAGGAAGTAGGATAAACATTCCCTTCCCATATGTGCCACCCGTTATGGTATCCCTGTCAAATCCAGGAAATGATAAGAATCACCAACAATCTAAGATACTGATAAACAGATAAAGTGTTGGTGAATTGCCATGCAAATATGATAAAAAAACTTCAACTGTATCTCGAAGCAGGTACGGAGAGATAAAACTTCCTTTGTTCTATCTACAGTAGCTTGTAACAGTAAAACATGTCATAACGTACCAGTTCCCATTCACTTCTAAAAACGGTGGTGATATATAATATATCACGAATTAATTTTAATGCCACAGTGCTTGCAAATAATATTTATATATTAATAAATACACCAACTACCACAATATGCCAAATTGACTCTGACCTTGTCACCAAAATGTACCCAAGAGACCCTAAACAATAAACCATTACACTATAATTCAGACATTCTACTGTTAAATGTAAAGGAAGTCCAAGATTCTATAAATACATTTCTAGGAAATTAGAGTTTGAATGATTGTAAAAATATCACTCTCTGTCACAGGGGATCATGTGAGGTAGTAACGTCGCTATAATGATATACACTGAAGCAAATACATGTATCACTTTGCAGTAGAACTTTTTATACTGAGATGTTTTACCGCTAAAACATGTCGTACTGTCTGTTGCTGCCCCAAACAAAAAAAGGAAATTGAAATGAATCATAACCAATACATAATGATCGAGTGTTAAATTGAAGGAAACTTCAGTTCAGTAAATCATTAGACTGGCATGGACCTCAGACATCATTGTAATCGTTACGTGATGTGGCCGTGTTGCCTTGTTTAACATGTCTGCTGGGCAAAGAGGTTACAAAACACCAATCTCCAGACATATTAACTAGTTTTTGCATTGAACATAAAGTATGAAAGTACATGGGTAAGAATGTCTTCCTTGTTTGTTTGTATAAATACCTGATCAGGTAAACCTCCACCACATCCCTGTCGGAGGAGCTTCTATCAGACACAGGTAAGAATTTGGAATTACTTATCCGCATTAATGATTTTAGTGAATGAACACATTAATCCTTTTAATGTTGTAAATACTTACAGAAGAACATCATTCATTATTCACATTATTATATAAATGATATTCGAAATTTATAAAAAACAGATCTTTATTTATTTACTTCACAAAAATTATGTTCTGATACCCCAGACGACAAAGGAATCTCTTGAGAAACTCATTACTTAATTTCTAATTCTGTTAACTTACTTCAATGCACACCCAGAAAACTTTCTGCACCGCTTACACTTCCACCAATAGAAAAAGATATTAATGCATGGAATAATTTCTTCAATGAGAGATTTTGCTTTTCGATGGAATATTTTATTGACGCGAATAAGGATTTTAATTCACAAAATCATTTGATTGTTGGACCTAACTAAAGATAATTACACATTTTTAACGAGATTTCGTTGGCGAGATGATAAAAGAAAAAATATCTTGACTGGGATTTATCCCAACATGTTATCACTCGATTGATATATATTTTTATGTACTTAACATCAATACGTCGTAAATTGTGGGATTACGAGAGAGTTTTCTGATACAATTAAATTACCCGTCTCAACAGTTTGTGATATAAATAATTCAACAGACTCGCATTGTAAATACATACAGCTCGGACTAGAAATGTATAACACATGTTTTTCTTAGAAATAAAGGGCACATTTTATCAACAGATAGATCACCAGTAAGAGTAACAAAACTATTTAATTCGCTCAATTAGCATAGGATTTCCTCAACACCAGGCATGCTCTCCACTATTCCTAGACTAATATTTTGTATTGCATTCCAACAATTCTGTTGTGACTGCTTTGATTAAGTAAATTTGTAGAATGATACTTTTAAACAGTACCAGTTCCATTGCCAAGCATTCGAAAGGTCCATCTTCTTTGTCGACATGATTCTTCTCTTCTTTTTTTCGATGTGATTATCTTCATGTCAGGAACATTTCTCTATCATGGTTGTTATGGTTGTTCAGCCCATCGAAACATTACATAGCGAATGTTTTTTTTACTGGAGGATATATTCCTTTTTAGAAGACACCAAACGTTTGGAAACCATCTTAAATCGTTTCAAACTTTTCCTATGGTGTCGGATTAATTTACAAATAAAATTGTACATCTTTTCAATACCCAGCAGAATGTTCTTGAATAATGATAGCCGCTTCTTGACTGATGTAAGCAGACAATTATAACCGTACGGGGTTAGAATAAATTTCTGTAACTTTTAGATTTTCTGTTGATACTAGTTTACATCTAAAAATATTTTTTAACGCCCGATAAATCTATAAAATCATTCAATAACAACGCTTTTCATTTTATGACCGAAAATGAACCAATCCCTTTTCAGAGTGTTCGTAATTATCATTTTAGCTGAGATAATTGATTTCAATTCCTCAAGAAACATTACATTTTTCAATTTAACACATAACTGGTACTTTTTCCCCAAAAAGATGTTAATTGAATGATGTTTTCGTATTTTCAATTTAATAGATATGTGTTCCTAATTTCCGAACAAACAGTGTGTCATTAATTTCTAATCCGAGCTGTTCTTTATTCTTTATGGACAATATACCAAAAATAAAAACGCTCTATATTCTTTCATAAGATAAGACAGATACGAAAATCGATCAAAATTTTAAATAGTTGTTTTTACACCTATGAAATATACAACAAAACTTATTGAACGTTGAAATTTAATAAATGTACGTAAGTAAAATGTTAAGTGCATTGTCAATATTTTTGCTTTTAGATTATGGGGTACTATGTAGCATTGACGTTTCTCTTCTGCTATGCAGTCTGTATCGGCAGTGTTAGAGGTAAGTACTGCTTAAATAACACTGAAAAATGCAAAAAAAAAAAAAATGAAAAATAAATAAAAAAATGAATAAAATAAAATAAAAACCTGATTATCAATATTTCCGTAAAGAGTTGATAGCTTCCAATTAAGTCTCCAAAACGAGGTTTTTGCTTCTTCTTCCACCAAATGGTTTCCAGGTCATCAAACATGGCCGCCGGGGCCTCTGATTGGTTGACACATTTATGGGTGTACGCCAAGGTGATACCAACAATCCCTTTCCATGTTCCCCCCCCCCCCCCCCCCCCCCCCCCTTAAACTTTGTATGGAAGGTTATTATGGCATTGAAAGATCTTTCTGGGCATCCATTGCGACTACAGCCTCAGTTGACGGAAATTCTGTAACGGTCCCCGATTTCATAATATGCTCTATTTAATCAACACATATATTTAAACCTACTTTATTCAAAATCTTTAATCTTTTGTCCCTAAGGTTGATTTAAGGATGTATACACATTACATAATGAAACAAATACACGGCACGTATTTATACATGTTTACGACATGTCCATTTCACATTTTGCGATTTACCTGCGAATTTGTGGACTTGACTTCGACCTATGAACCTTAGTGACCTCTTATATTCCAAGAAAGGATTAGTAACAATTATATAACGAGTAAATGTAGGACTCCCTGAGGGGCCGAATTAGTTTTTCTATGGTTCATTAACATAATAGAGACAAGGGCTGATCTGTTATCTCCCTTGTGTAAGTAGAAATACGTTTCCCTTAATTTATTGTCGTACTGTGTTTTTCTGGTGTCCCTGTTGTTACCTTTGATAAGCCTTGTATCTAGGAACAACCAACCTGAACTACTGCCTGACGGCCACAATCTTGCGATTAGAAAATGTGTATTCCTGATAAGGTAATACATTTTGATAATTGTTTGTATTAAATCACTTTTCTTCTGCATGGTTTTACATACGTCCGAATATTAAACATTATTATCAAACAAGCACACATATACAAAAGATATAACACACAGTTTGACATCACAAACGTTTGTTTTGCAGCTAAAGGCTTAACAGCAATGCCCGGTATTATGTCTGGTTCGGCAGGAGGAGGTTCTTCTGGCGGTGGATTTATGACCAGTGGAATGACTGGCGGTGGTGGAATGATGTCAGGTGGAGGTGGAATGACTGGCGGTGGAATGATGACGGGTGGCGGTGGAATGATGACCGGCGGTGGTGGAATGATGACCGGCGGTGGTGGAATGATGGGAGGCGGAGCTGGGAGGGGTATGGGAGGCGGAGCGGGTATGGGCGGTGGCGCCGGGATGGGTATGGGGGGCGGGGCTGGTATGGGCGTGGGGGGCGGGGCTGGTATGGGCGTGGGAGGCGGAGTCGGTATGGGCGGTGGGGCCGGTATGGGGATGGGGGGCGGAGCTGGTAGGGGAATGGGAGGCGGAGCTGGAATGGGAATGGGAGGCGGAGCTGTTAGGGGCATGGGAGGCGGAGGTGGTAGGGGAATGGGAGGCTGAGCCGGTATGGGCGGTTGCGCCTGTATGGAAGGAGGAGCTGGTATGGGGATGGGGGGCGGAGCTGGTATGGGCATGGGAGGCGGAGCTGGTATGGGAATGGGAGGCGGAGCCGGTATGGGCGGTGGCGCCGGTATGGAAGGAGGAGCTGGTATGGGTATGGGAGGCGGAGCTGGTATGGGTATGGGAGGCGGAGCTGGTATGGGAATGGGAGGCGGAGCCGGTATGGGCGGTGGCGCCGGTATGGGTATGGGAGGAGGTAGTGGTATGGGAAGCGGTATGAGCATTATGGGGGGTGGAGGTATGGGAGGAGGTGCAATGGGAGGCGGGGCTATGGGAGGAGGAGGAATGGGAGGCGGGGCTATGGGAGGTGGAGGAATGACATCATCTTTCATTACTACCAATCGTAGAGGAAAAAAGGGAGGTAACTATCTGCGTTTAACGGTTGATTATTTCACAAAGTTAGTTTTCGTCACCCGGTACAATTTATTATTCTTTTTTGTATTAAATAAAGTTCGTTAAAAAGGTCACTTAAATATGAGTAAAGTTTCTTATCATCGGTTATATACAAATATACTAAAATTAAGCTAAAACGTCACTTGCTTTTCTTACTTCCATGCACGTTCTATTTAATATTTATGTATTCAGTGTTTTTAACTTTTTTTATTGCAGGTTCCTATTAAACCAGACGCAATGAAGTAATCAACTGTTAGAAGACGCCAGGTGATCATGGACATTCGTTGCCATTAAAAGTACATCCTATTTATGTCAATCACTGTTATCAATAATAAAACACCTTCATATTAGCTACTGTGGTTTTGTTTTGTGTTCTTCTTTGCGACTGATTGATGCCCTATGTTTAAACTTAGTGTAATGCATACCAAATCGCTATTGGTCTCTATCGCTTGCTCGTTTTTTATTTGCTGCCTCTATTATTACAAGAATTTATTTGTTTTAACAATTATTTTACGGCTCTAAGTTGTATTTAGGCACAAAATAGAGAGAGTCATTGACATCATTAAGCCTATATATAACAAGGTCGCAGTGCCAATTATTAACTACATTTGTATGTGTTTTTTTCTCGGTATTTTTTTTATTATTTGCAAATATAAAGATATGGTTGTTAGCTACTTTGGAACATATTTTGTGAAAAGCACAACAAAATAAAAAATGAAATATTCTGAGGAGAAACTGTTGAGAATTATCAAGTTCCTGGCTGACAATATCTTTGTTGAGTTTGGTGGCAACTTTTTTCCCCAACAGACTGAAGGAAATCCTAATGGGAAAAAACTGTGCTCCGCTTCTGGTTGACATTTTTGATTTCATATGAGGCAGAATTTAATTTAGAGCAAAATCCTTCAATATCACATATCCATGTATATTGTCGGCGTGCTGTCTTTAGGAAACAATATTTGATTGACCACATCGATTGTGTGTACTCTCGTGAGATTGAAATAAAGGCCACTACAGAATCTTTTACTTCAGACCTTTCATCGATCTTTACTAACAATATTTACTACATGGATAGTTTTTTTCTGTATTGTACGAGCTTTCCTTTCTTGATTGAAGCATCCATGCTTCCCAAATCTACGATGTTTCAATGTTGCGACTGAATTGGTATTTAAGATTTAACTCCAAATATCATCATCTATGCTTGTACGTTCATACCGTCGCCGCGTCATACATATTAACTATTTTGTCATACATACTGACCATTGTGTCAAACGTGCAGACTACCGTGTCATACTAACAATTGTTTCATACCAACTAACTACCGTGTAATACCTACTACCTATTATCTCTAACTACCCATTTAGCTTATATTACATCAATAACTCAAGCTTAAATCTGAATGTCTCAGATATATTTTGGTTTTGAGGTCCATTAGTGACACGCGGAGTAATCGATAGCGCCGTACAAAGGAGGTAACGATCCGCGTAAACATACAAACCGGGTAGATATCGGCCAATAAAGACAACATGGAGCGATGCATTGTTTCATTTGTTACGTACAGTACAAAAGGTTTACCATCGGGAGAAAAATGTATCGAACCAATACAGCCATATATGATGAGTGTCATATGGCGAAGATGATTAAACTGGTGGTTTCAATTAATAATTTCCAGTTTAGGTTCGATACTCACAGACTGCACTGTTTCATCACCAGGGTATTCTGTCCTTTGATGTGTACGCAGAGGCTGGTATCCTGTGATCATAATGAGCCGACTTTGTTTTCTAGTAACGGGCCTTTATACGGTTAACATGCACTTTGTAGTAAGGAATACCATAGCACATAGATTATGTTACAATAAAAACATTTTCGAAATAGATTTACCAGATGACAAAAAAAAATGGAAAAATAGAGATATTGATTTGCTCCATTTTGTATTCAATTGTGTTTAATAGTGCAAGGGTTACGATCAACTATTGTAGAATAAGACCTGATACAGTCTGTATTCCCGCTTTGTATTTCGACAAAGGCTTTTTTAAGCTATCATAGAGTAATTCAATCATGAAAGCGATCGAGTAACGTGCGGTAGGATGTTGATAGCTACATAAATTATTCACGATCAGGAGCCATGCATTCTTCCGTGCAAAATAGCGCAAATTTAATATAGATCATTTTCGGGGATAAAACGGATAGGCACGCTAATAATAAGGAAATTCGCTCTAAATCGATTGTACAGGTCTGTTATCGCATCAAATGCATCCACGCCGATCGCTTGTTATGATATTATTTTTTTTATGGAAGTTGGGTAGCTTTTAATCAAACAAAGTGGCAATAAATGAGATGCAATGAAATGTTTACAGCTGTGAATATTGCAAATAACGCCCCTCGTAGTACATTAAGGTCGGCACGTGCCATAAGTCACAAGAGAGCTTAACCAGACACGTTATTAACAGATAACATCAAAATACCAAAAACATCAACACAGTCCAAATACATCAGCAGAGACCAAACACATCAACACAGACCAAAGACATCAGCAGAGACCAAAAACATCAACACAGTACAAATACATCAGCAGAGACCAAAAACATCAATAGAGACCAAATATTTAACACAGAGCAAAGATATCAAATAACACATATCATAGCCTCACGCCAATCAGATATAATGGTGGCCATTTTATATTTTATGTTCGCTATGAAAGTAAGAACACCTAATCAGTGGTAATAGCAACTATCTTGATTTTCGGATCAGCGATAGCACGAAAATTGTGATTTCTCGTTAGGATTCTTAACAAGAAATAATAATGTTCGTTCTAGCGCTGATCCGAAAATTCAAGATGGCTGCCATTGCCCCTAATTGGGTGAGATATTTTTGTCTCCTTCTCGTGAATGACTGAAGCGCGAATAGTTTTAACCTTAGTTAGAGATTTTTCTTATGAGATAATCAACAATTTCGTTCTTTTTACTTTTGGTGCAATCCGGAAATCCAAGATGGTTCCTGATTGGCGGAGTCACCTAGCTTCGTCTTTTTATCGAGAACGGATGCTTCAATAGACTCCTTATTTGTTGCAAATGTTTTTTTATGAGATTGCTAACATGTGTTCATTCTTTTAGTGCCGATTCGAATATTCAAAGAAGGCTGTCGAAGCACCTAATTGGCCCTAGCATTTTTGACTTCTTCTCGGCACTTATTGACTGCAAATTGGTGGAAATATTCTTTATGGGTTCCCCAACAATTGATCTTACTTTTCATGCTGATTAGAAAATCCAAGATGGCCACTCGAGCCTCTGGTTTAGCTGCGACATTTTCGCATTTCTCTCAAGATATCCTTTGTGAAAGAGTTCACAACTTTTGTTGCAAATCAGAAAATCAAACACGGCTGACCTAACGTCAGATTGGCTGAGACACTTTTGACTTTTTCTCAAGAACGGCTGCACCAAATTTAGCACAGATATTTCTTATGAGGTCCTTAACAAGTGTTTTTATTTTTATCTCTATCATAAAATACAAAATGGCAACCGTTATATCTGATTGGCGTGAACACTTTTGACTTCTTCTCAAGAACGGCTGCACTGATTTACCCCAAACATTGCTCAAATTTTTCCTATGAGGTCTTAAACAAGAAAATCCAAGATGACCACGTTGGCCTCTGGTTGGCTTAGCAATTTTTGATTTGTTCCCTTGTAAGCGTTAAGGCCCGATGGACCTCTTGTTCATTATTCAAATAACCATGAATAATTTATAACCATGTTCTGCTATAGTTATAATATGTTGACATTGACATTATTGTAGTATCCAAATGAATTTAAAACTTTATTTATTTTAAAACATTTATGAAACAATTTATTTCAACTTATATTAATCACTCTTAGCTTGTTGGCCCGGATGTTAGCGCGTGGGGGTCTTAATGTGGAAGGTAACCTGAGTACCCGGATAAAACCCTCGCGGTCGGACAGGTGACCCCAACCTTTTCACGTCCGATCGGGGAATCGAACCAAGGCCGCGTTGGTGAAAAGCAAGCGCATTATCCACTGCACCACCCGACCACCCGGGTGGTGGTGCGTGGTCGGGTGGTGCATGCTATTAGCATCCAAATAGAACACCAGCAAACATTACAGCAGGTTCTACGAATTTTAAATCCCTAACGGTGTGGTTAAATATTTATGCATATTGTTTAAAACTGGAAAAAGTAATGTTTTCCATTATCATATCATAAACATGTATATATATGCACAGCCGAGGTCACGTGACAAAAGATGATAGTCTCGTTATTAATTTGAAATCGAGCGAGAGCGTTGTCAGGAGAGATTATCGATCAGGACATTTACAGGTATATCTTCACAATCATTTCCATTTCATCCATGGAACGATTTACCTAGGAAAATTGGTAATATATAGATAGCGATCAATCGTCTACAATGTCTCCCCGGGGATCGGTACTAATTGTGGCGCCATTGAATATACGTTGCACGTGTGACGTCTCGCTTTAAGTTAAAGAGAATACAGCAACGTATTTTCATCACAATTTATTTTCTTCCATTCCAATAAGC